CAAAAGATTTACATTTTAAGAAAATAGCACTTCAAATGAATAAGGATTATATTTGTATATTTTGATTTTCCTCTGCTAATATGCCTTTCCCTTTCCTTCCTTTCCCTTCCTAGAAGGGACACTAAAAAGCACCCAAGAAAGAGAGAAGCAAAGGAAGAAAAGTATGAGAAGACAGGTCATGATTTAATTAAGAGACTTGGGAATGGTTGGAAGCATACATTTCCATTATCTCTGTTTTCAGCAGGGATTCATGATGCATGCAGAAACAGGTGGAGGGAAAGCCATCACAGCTCATAGCACAGCTTTAATAAACTCGCGTTGCGCAGCTCTACTGAACTGCTATATTCTGGATAAGCAGAAGATTCAGGAAGTCTTCAGAGAAATGCTTTGCTGCTATCCATCCTCAGCTAGTTTGTCACATAGTTTTGCATTCTGGTAAGTAGTTTTCCAACAAATTTAGGGAATTGATCTTCAGTCTTTAGACAATTGATGTATTGTGTGCTTATTTCCATTGTAGATTTATTTCCATTTCTAATTGAGTTCTTTTGAGAGTGGTGCACCAAAAAAATGTTAGCTAGTACTAAAAAGTGAATATTAAATATTCCATCATGAGACCTGCTATCCTTATTATTTGAAAAAATTGAGAACTCCAGTAACACACAGAAACTTTTGTTTAGCTGCCAGGTACTGCAAACAGCTGTCACCAAGCTAAATCTTAGACACTGGGCTACTGATGCCCAGCCAGATCCAATGCCAGATCAAACACATCCTGCCTATGCCATCACTGTGCTGATGTAGGATGCAAGTGCTCAGTATGTTCAGCCAGACTACTGTTGCCATTTTAAGCTATCTAGTTTGCTGTGAAGTGGTCTTCTTTGCCACTGTTGGCTCAGAAACTTTGGTTACCAGATTGGTACAAAGGCCTGGGCAGTCAGGCCATTGCTTGCTCAATACTTTTGTTGTGCTGGGCCAGCATCAAGGCTTGTGAGGGCCACAGAAAGGCCTGCAGGGCTCCAGCCAAAGCCTGCACTTCAGGAAAGGGCTGACTCACAGCATCTCATTTTCCAGTCCTACACTGAGGCCTTTCTCCTGTGAGGCTTCATCTGATTTATTACTGATGATCTACAAGAGGCTACAATCTTGGCAGCAGCTGACCACAACTTTGAGGCAGCTTGGCAGGATTATAACGGTGCTGAGGCAACCCAGTGGTGGCAGCCAGCTCAGAGATGACAGCAAGGCAATGTGGAGACGGAGAGCAGAGCAGGCTGTGGGCAGCCAAAAAGGAGACTGACTTACAACTGACATCATATTTAAGGCACCATGGGAGGGGGTAAGAAGGGCTCCTGACACCCTGGAGATGGTGCTGCAGGAACATGGAGGCCCCTCGGCCCAGAGATGGTGCTGGGGCAACATGAGACAAAATTTAGAGAAAATATTGAAGAGTGAAGAAAGCTCCACGAGAAGTTTTGTAGGCCTCAGTCAGACCTAGAGCAGCGTAGATGAGATATGTGGTTCAGGCACCTCCAGCTTTATCTTCCTGTCCTGCAATGAGACAAGCCGAGCTCTTTAAGTGCCTTGATCTCCAGAGACTGCTGCAGGACCTGCCCTGGTTTTGCCTGTGCTAAACATGCGACAAATGGTAAGCTGGGGAGTTCGAATGGGTAGAAGGGAGGTGGTTAGATCTCAGATGCAGTCAGAGGGGAAGTGGAGCTCCTTTCAAGCTGTGGTTGAGATCTTGCCTCGCAGACATTGCTCATTTGCTACTTGTTCGTTTTCCCAAATTGTTCTATTCCCTTTTGTATCCTTCTAGTTGTCTTTGCAATAACAGACTTAATTCAGTACTGCATATGGGCAGCTACAGTTAATACCTCCTGCAGCTAACATTGCAGCCCTATGCGGACCTCCATGCTGTGTGATTATTGTGGCCAGGCTTTGGGGAGGCTGGAGAAGATTCTGCTGTGATCTGGGAGCAGTGTTGGTTGTGCTAGAGCATAATTGTGTCTGAAATGATAAGCTTACTTGAGAGACTAAAACCCGTTGCTTAGAATTTCAGGAATTGGCAATTCTGGGTTAACATTTCTGTGCTGTCAGGATATTTTCAGTAAAAGGTATCTGAACACAGAGCAATTGGATATCTCCAGGTTCCCATGAGGCTACTGGCTTTTTTTAAGAAATAGTGAAAACGGAGATCTTTCTGGCTTTTTGTGATCACTGTTGCAGTACTGCTGTTAAGTGGTAAATTGTATTTGCTGCTCTTCTATGTTGGGACATAGCATAGAGGATATTGTGTGCTCCACATACACAGACAAGGTGGGAAGATATGTAAAAATATCTGTTTTCTCTCCTGAACATCTTCCATCAGCTAGTCACAGTATCTATTAAGAATGAAGTGCTGCTGGGTAGCCTTAAAATTGTCTATGGCATCAGCTAGTGATTGTAATGTTGAGGGGCTGTTATTACACGGCTAATGAGCCTGAATATGATGACACACTTTAGCCATGTGTTTATGTTAAACAAATATGCTTTATTTTTAACTGTACATCTGCTGGGCATTGCACAAGCCCCAACACGCTCTGCAATAGCAGCAAGCTACTGGTTAACATTCACAGTCTGGTGGAGAGAAAGTGTTTCTCAGTGCCTAATGGGGCCTGGCTTCATGCAGGTAGCAAGGTGCTTTGCACTCTCTTTGCTACTTGTATATTTTCTAGTGCTTTTTGTCCACCTGGCTGACTCTACATTCCAAAGCAGCTGAAAAATTAGGGAACATGACCAATTATTTAAAATGAAATGTTCAAAACCTAGGCGTCCACATGTACAATGTCAAACCAAATATTGATTTGACAGATGCTTCAGCTGTGCTGTAGATGGCATCTGTAGTCACTATCGGTTCTCATTTTCTCTTGACCCTGTTCATCACACTGTGGAGAGATTCCTGTTTTGATTTACTGCTGTACCATTCAAAATGTTAAGCCTATGGGAATGTGATTGTTAGAGCTGGCTGGAAGTGAAACTGATTTTTTGGGGTTGAAATACAAGAGAGACTTGTACAGTTTTGGCAAAGAGTCTGTAGAGCTTCTCTGAAGCTCTGATAGAATAGCTGGGATCTGAATTGAGTTTTTCCCCCTTTTTTTTCCCTCCCCCCAAAAAATTGATTTTTGAGAAACTATCTCTGTGAACATGTGAGGACTTGTCTCTTTTCTTCTCCACTTATTAATTTGATAATTGACAAACTCCTGCACTCTATGAAGTCAGAATTACAGCTAGGACCTAGTGTTTAGATGACTTGAGGGCACACAGCTACAATTACCTTGATACATGGGTGAAAAATAATTCTAATGTGATCACACCAGATGTTTGCTTGGTAGTTTGTTTTACTTGAAGAAGAGAAGTTGTGCAAAATACTATAAATTTAGGAGATATCAATACAAAAGGGAGAGAAAACATTTCAAGGAGGAAGACATAACAACTGTAAGATGACAGAAGCCAGTGGGGAGTAGTAAAATGAGAGGATGCCACATGAAATTTAAGAGGTTAATGACATGCAGCTATGGATGGATAGAATTCTCATGGATCCCGATCTCAGATCTGATCCAATTGCAGTCCTCTTCTAATGGAAGAGGCTGTAAATCAGTCAGAGGATTCTGGTGAATCATGCTTTGTTCTCATAATTTGTGATGTAACCAAAAGTTCTTGATGGAATTACAACTGCTCTGCTCGCACTCACCTGCTATTCGCTCTGTATTCAGTTAACAATAGTAAATAAACTGCATATTAGATTTTAAGCAGAGCTGTTCATAGCAAATGAATTCGTCTTGCCCACAGGCAGCCCTAATTTAAAACATATGTATACATTTAAATCATGTTGGTTCCACATATTAAGCATATTTTTGTCTCATTAACATTTAATATTTTGAATATATATGTAGTTCACTGTGGGTTTGAATCAAAAGTGGTAGATTTTTTTTGATGGAAGGTGGAATAGTAGGAAGAAAGTGGATTATGATGGCATTACATGGCACATTCCATCACACCTGAAACCAATGCAAAGCACTGTCTTTTCTTGTACAGGCAAAACCTTCATTAGAATCGAAGAAAGTTTTCCCTAGTTGCAGGAAACATGGGAGTTGTTGTTTAGTGAAAATAGAAGTAAGGACAGGATAACCATTGTCTGGTAGTGTATTTCTCCTAAAGTAATGTAAGTGCCCCAGAACATTAAAAAAGGAGTTATCAATTTTTCCCAGACTTCTAAAGAGTGAAAGAATTTTGTATGTAAAACAGCGTTTATCCTAAGAAAAAAATAAAGAAAATAAGCAGTGCCTGGTGTCAGACTCCAAAAAACTTAGGCCTCTAAAAATTAGCTTGTTTATTTCTTTTCATGAATGCTGAGCACTGCCAACCCCCACAGTTGTTAGACTGGATGTGATTTGACTACATGTTCTTGCAAAGAAATACTAAGAATATGCAGTAGGTCAAAGTGGCTCCTTATCTTTGTGAGGAGATAAGGCCTGCTGTTCCTCCTAGGAAACAGTGTCTTGGAAGCGGAAGGCTGTACTTCTTATCATTCAAGTATGTGCCATAAAGGGGTAAAAATAGGGACACCAAGGATAAGAAAGCTGAAACCAAGGCACCTGCTACCCACAGAAGGAAACTTGGGAATCAGATGAGATGGAGTGTGTCATCTGTTTGAGAAATTTTAAAACTTCACTTTCAGGAGTAAATACTTTGCATTAAAACGATTTTAAAAGTCTCTGAGATTACTGGTGTGAGAAAAGGTTTGCAGGATTTAGACTTCCTGTTTTATCATGCAAACTGTATGCAGTTCAGTGAGTACACAGAAGAATGTAAGAACTGACAGAGAGAGTTAGATTTCTATGCCTATTAGAAATTTAAAAGACATCCTCAATTCCAAAGGCTGCATGTGACCTGAACAGAACTGGTTTAACAGAAAAATTCAAATAAGTTTTTGGCTTTTGTCACTCTGGCCAAATAATGTGTAGTTCTTTCAATCTCACAAAATTTTAATTAATGATATATAATGCAGGTTATTTACAATGATTGCCATCCTTTAAATGCCAGCTTTCCTTTAAAAGCAGCAACAACAAACAACCAGCTCCATCCCGTGCTCCAAACCTTGTTTGCAAGGATTTTCATTTACATCACTAATGTACAGTTTCACAGACAGCAGAAAAGAGTATTCTTCTTCTTATAGATATTCTGCATATACTACCTGCAGCCGCATTCTGCCACTTTCATCCCTTCATAGTTATATATCAAAGTGGGCACACCAGCATCATCCTTATAAAGAATAGAAATGGAATCCAATTTAGTTGGAACACAACAAGCCTTGGAAGCTTTCTTCGGGTTTTGGAGATGCACCAGAGTCTGGACAATAGCATGTTTTGTTGGCGTAACATTATCTGTCAGAGGGAAGAAGCAACCTCCTTTACACTCAAAAGCCTCATAATCTTTGGGTGCAATGATCCAAGAATCCCAACCAATCTCTTTGAAGTTCACATGGAGCGAAGTTCTCCGACAGTGGTTTGCTCCAATGCTTCTCTTGCTTCTGGAGGAATGCTGATGGGGCCTAGTGATGGCTTTTTCCTCTCTCTGTTCTTCAGATGAAGAGTTGTTCTTTCCTAATTTGTCTAGCACATTTTCTTGCTCATGAACAATCATCTCCCGGAGCTCTGCTTTGGTCTCTTTTGTCCCATTGCTGCGATCATTGGAGAATACTACTAACAGGGGCAGATTTTTAGTGTCACGAGTAACGCTGATATCCAGCTTCCCACAAGGGAAACCACCCAGAGCCTTACTCTCTATAACAACCTCTAGCTTGTTTTTAGTCTTCATCTTGTCTGCCTTAACCCATCTTTTCACAGCTCTGGACACTTCAAACATTTCCCAGCCACACTCCTGAATACCGTGGGAGACAAGCAAAGATTTGCTATTTTCTTTATTTTCCCAATGGTCTCCATCTAGAACATCATAAATGACCATGTTTCCTTCCAGTCTGGAGGGAGACCCAACTTCCTTGCGGCAGGAGATAAAGATTCTCAGTTCAGCTCTGGTGATTTCCTCGTATCGTGGAATAGAGATGTTGAACAGCAAGATGTGTTTCTGAAATGGGTTTTCTTCTGGTGAAGTTAAAGAAACAACATCTGCAATAGGAAATAAAAACCTGTGGTTACAGTGCTCGTGACAGTCCAAATAACTTGCTTTTAAAAGATTCAGGATGTGTTTTGGGAGTAAAATAAGACCATGGCTACCTAGCATCAAAAAATAAATAAAATAATAATACCATCTTCTGGCCAGGTTTCAAGAAGCAGGGAGTGAAAAGTTAAAATGGAGTATCTTGATGTTGGTAGTATTTTCACCAAGACTGCGTGCAGGTGAATGTCTGAAGGAGTGAAGGGGTAGCAGGAAGAGTCTTTCTAAAACAAGGTGCAGATGGTGCTGTAGCAGGTACTCATCTAGGAAGTGTAAAATTTAGCAATTTCCTGAAGAGAATTTTACAGAAAGAATTCCTAAAAAAAAAAAAAGCTATTAGAATTTACCACTCATCACAGTGCCGTGGGATGAACTGCTCTCCTAGTATGGAGAAGCATGGTGTGTATTTGTCTCTTTTTAAGAATTAACTGTGCTGAGGTTTTTGGTGTCTTCAGGTAGCTTTGAAAGCAGCTTGTGTTACTGAGAGAGAAGACAGAAAAATTCTGAAAAATCTGTATCAAAGCTCGAGAGTCTGTTTAAATTGGGACTTGGTGATAAATATCCCTCATGTTTAGGTACATTCCAGGCTTTTGTGAGTATTTGCGGTGTTTTATTATATTTTTCTGCAAACGTATGTGCAGAACCAGCAACTCTGGCTTGGGAAGGGCAGGTATTTTTCTGACAGATCAGATAGGTAGTATTTTAAAGTCATCACTGAATGATATCTCTTTGATGGTCAGTGTTAGATAGTTACTCGATCATCATTGTATTATAGGGCAATTTTAATTAGCTACTGTTGACTCTTCTTCCCTCTAAAGCAGTCTGAGTGGAGAGTGGGATGTGGGAACTATAATCTAGCTCATACTGTTGAGTTTTCTTTCCATTTCAGAACTAGAGTCACTTATTTGGGAATCTGGAGATCCTTGTAGTGCTGTTACCTCTCTACAACTATATTTTATAAAAACAGATTCTCCCTGTCTCATTTTTATTCTAAAGATTGCACTTATAACATTTTTTTTACTGTTTCTTGACATGGAGCTTTCAAAAATCTATTGCTACAGGCAGATTTGGATTTTTTTTTCAAGTTGAGACAAGCCTGGCTAAAACTTTTCATGTAAATCTTCTCCTCTAAACCAGAATTTGGGGTGAGCACTGCTGGATCCTTACTTGGATCGAGGCACAGATATCTCAGTTGGCTACTGTATTTTTTAAGAATGACAGAAGCCTCTCAGAAAGAAGAGCTCTCTGGCATGGATGTCTCAGTTATACATGATCAAATATTTGTTTTCTAACATAAAAAAGCAGTCACAAATCTCTAGCTTTGAGAAACATGATTTGTGTAAACCCTGTATTCAATGTATTTTCTCAATTTAGGCATTTGAGAAGATAAAATTGTACAATAAAAACATCAGAGAATTTTTTTAAATTGTGTTTTTTAAAGATCGAAAGGAGCAAGTAAGGCCACAGTCCAAAAATTCGATCTACTTGCTTTCTAAATAGCCTGTGGAAGTTAGGCAATTAGTTTCCTCAGAATTTCAAAAGCATGTGACTGCTGCTCGCATATATCTTTAAAAATTCTTGTCCACACATTTAGGACTTCTCCTACCTTCAGTGCTGAAGCTCCTTACGATGTTGGATGCAGGAATGGAGGACTTGTCCGCTGTGTATCTGTTGTATAAATCAATCATGAACTGTGGTGGTGGTTCTTTGGTCTTCGCTTGTGAGGGAATCCTTGATAAATTTAAACTTCTTAGTAATTCTGTCTTCATATTCTCCAGGAAAGATTTAAAATCAAAATGGGTCTCATCTTCCACTTCCCCAGGATCATGAAAGAATGTGTCAGACTCTCCCATAACTGGTAGCTTGTCCCAGTTTCCCAAAGGCTTGCCTCTTGTCAGGCAGGCAATTATATTGAAAACAGAAAGTGCAGCTAATACTCCAAAATAATGCATTTCTTATGTATTTACTTTCTGAGGGAGAGACAAGAGGACTAAGTATTTTAACTGATTAAAAATGTTGAATCTTTACAGACAGAGGAGAGGAGGTGGAAGGCAAACAGATGGAATGCCCTTTGCAAATCACTTTCTTGTGTTCTTTTCACAGTCTGCTTCAAACTCCAGCCTCTTGTCAGTTGTCAAGCAGATTGGTTGTACACTTGCCCTTATCTGAGTCATTGATGCCATGCTTCAGCTTCTGTTATCTAGCGAAGCTCTTAGTTAATGAAGATTCTATAAACATCTGACAAACACACATGGCTGGTGGGAAGGACATTGTATATTGTAAAGAATCCACATTTCACTTCAGGGTCATCGTTACTTAATTACACTCTTTTAGCATTTCCTTGCCAACTCAGACAGAAGCTTTTTTAGGGACGTGGAAGATTACATGATTTTCATCATGACTAGAAAACAGAACTCTAGAATGAAATTATTCTACCAGCCATTAGTAAATAACATCTCACATATCCCTACCATGTTCCATTAATATGCCATCAGTAAATCTACAGTAATTTGATGGAGACCTGTGATTCTGCAAGACATGCTCTCATGACAGTACAAACAACCTTAAAACTTCTTTCCGTTTATCAGCCAAGAGCTATTATTTGTACACACTGTAATATCTGTTTTGTGTCAAGTGCATTTCAGGCTGTTCGCAGGCTTGTTCTTTTTCAGTCTGATTCTTTTGTAGACTTGTAGTTTTTTTGTAGTCTTGTTTTTATAGTATCTTACATAATATATTTCTTAGGTTCTTGATGGTCAATACAATCCAAGAGCAACCAGTGACCTTAGAATGGAAACAGAACCAACCCTTCTGAGGCTACATGAAAAGTAAGAGTCTGACACTATTATCCATGAGAAGAATGGGACGAAACTCAAAATTTCTTTTGTATTTAATACTTGTGTGCAAAGTCCAATTTCTTGTACTTGGCTAAGTGTAACATTTCAAGGATCTCCAGAAAAATGAAGAATTTTTCTTCTTCTTTTTGTAGCACTTGTTCTAAAAGACTACCGCTCACGCTTAAAAATCCTGGTGCTTCATTTATTGTTCATTGTTCCAGGCTTACACCTTTTAGACACCAGTTCTACTCACTTCCTTGTGGAATTCAGAAGCCCCATAGCACCGGCATTTTCTCTCCATCAAGGTACTTAGTGTAATCAAGTTACTTCTCAGTTTGCTTTCTGATAAAATGAACACATAGTGCTTTTTTTAGTCACGTTCTAGAGGATATATTCTTTAACTGTTTTTGTTTCTCATTTTGTGTCTCTTCCAGAATTTCAATGTTTTTCTGAAAAGGTGAACACTGGAGCTATACATGGTTTTCTAATGGCAATCTTCCAGTGCCACATGCAGAAAAAAAATCTCCTTTACTACTGGGTTCTCTGCTCCACAGTGCATCTTTTCGTAGCTTTCATTAGCTCTTTTTACATAGCATCATCCTTGATGCTTCTATTACACTGCATGTCCATGACACCCACCAAATCTATTTTAAAAGTTAGAGTTTCCAAGGGTGCAGTCTTCTGCTCTGTAAGAACAGCCTCTATTCCTTGTGCCCAGGTAGAATATTCTGCATCTGCCTACCTTAAAATGAGTCCTGATTGCATGGCTAGATCAAGCATTCTATATAAATACCAATCTGCTGAACACTCTTGTGCAAGTGCTGTGGAGGTTGTTGTATATAAAAGACTTCCAGTTCATATGTAAAGATGTTACGTATTGTCAGGCCAAGTGTCATCTTTGCAGAAACTTAACAATGAACAGTTTCATTTAATGGCAATTCCATTTGTAAGCTGCTCTTTGAAGTTTGGCAGTGAGACAGTTGTTAGTTGGTGTGATGCATAAATATATTGACATTGTCCAGTAGTTTCTGTTAATCATACTGCCTTGTGAAAATGAAAAGAAACAGTTTACAAAAACATTCTAATTATTGCTTTTACCTCTGGCAATTAAACTGTGAACTCAAAGAATTAAATGGAATGTTGTAGTAAAAAACGTCCTTTAAACTTTGCTGACTATTATCAGCTGATTTACTGGTTTATCTGTCTGTAATCATCTGCTATTGATCATCCTCATTTTTTGGAGGATTAATGAGATTATTTTGCTGTTTATTTTAGGTGTTTGTCAATAGTAACTTTTTCTAGAAATGTAAACACTGAGTGGAAGGGTATACAGCATGGCCATGGAAGTCAAAGAACTGTTAGGAGAGAAGATTCATGATGGTGTGGATATCAGCTGACAGTATTTGTGCTATTTTAAAAATAATTTATATGTATTAAATTCAAAGTTTCCTTTTCCAAAGGAAGAATAGGCATTCAGAGACCCAGAAAGCAGCCACTTCTAAACCAATTGTGGTGAAAGCTTGGTTTGCATTAGAGAATTGACAGATATAGCTAAACCACTAAATGTCTTGTGACAAAATGAACTTCTTCTCTAAGTTACAGTACTCTACTAAATGAAATAAACTTTAATAGTAAGAGAATTTCCTCTTTTGTGTAGTAAGGGAATGTCTTGATAGCTATGTAACTTAAGGGCATAATTTTGTTTGGCCCATGCTAAATTACGTAGTTATGCCAATCTTTAAATACAGACCAGATCTTTCAGGTTTCTCCAGGTATCCTAAAAAGATAGGAATAGCATTTTCCCTTACATCCCATAGACCTTATAACAGATCTCTCCTAATTATTTGCATCAGCAGATCTTGGGTAGTGAATATGTACCCAAAGACTAATTCAAGATACAGAATTTCTTAGGGAAAAAAACACAATAGACCAGAACATAAATACACTATGCTAATATATTATTCTCTTCAAAGCTGTTGCTAAATGGGATAAAGATTGCCTAGAGAAAAAAAAAAAAAAAAAAAAAGTGACATAGAACAGAAATGGCAACGACTTAAGACGCTTTGGGGAGTTTTAAGCTAATTTGCTAATTGCTGTTCTGTAGAAATAGGTGCTTAATTTCTGATAATTTTTCCTTTTTTCCCCTATATTTTACCATCATTGTCAGCATTGATTGAGTGTCTCTTAATTCATGAAAACACAAGACCCTTCATTTTTAAGGGAGATCTTTAATAGCAACAGTACACAAATGTTTGTCTTAGTAATTCTTGTGTAAATCCCTGTAGTGCTTTTGAAGAAGTGCTTATTAAGATCCATGATATTTTGGCAATTGTAATTAGCAGTCACTACAAGGTGTCTTAGGTATCTACTTAAGAGTGTTAGAATGAACGAGGAAGAAATGTTGATAGAGTAACATTGCAGACACTCTTGTACACACCAAGTCTTGCTTTTATGTAGGTTAGTGGGGAGGGACACATTTACACAACTCTATTGCCTGGGAACCTGCACCCCATGAATACAGAATATTTGGGGTAGAAAATACCTCGTGCCTTAGCAGGGTGGAAGCCTTCCAGGTAGTAGGTGTTGTGTCCTTTCCCTGAGCAATATACTTCTAATGCAATAATAGAGAAGAATAGACTGTCCTTCAAGGAGGAAAGGCTTGGCATCTTGCTCTCTGTGCTACCTCACTGGTTTCAGGAGTTTGTTTTGCTCCTGGTCTGCTTAGATTATTGCATACCAAGTGGGCGAAAATGGAGCACATCACCAGTGTGTCCTGGCATGGAGGGATAGAGAGAAAGAGAATTGACAGGCTCAGTAATGGAACATCAGTTGTTAGAGGAGTGTTGCTTTTATGAGGGCTATCGTGAATGTATCAACAGAGGATCATAAGAGAACTAGAGGAAAGCAGAGTTATTTCTGTTAAGACTTTTAATGGAACAGCTGCCAAATATTGTGTTCCATGTTGAAGTTCATTGCTGGAAAAAGAATTTAATGAAAGTTCTGGAAAGACTTCAGAAAAGAGCTATGAGAAATTGTTTTGAGGCTTAGAATAATAAGAAATCAAAGTACCTATTTAAATCCTAGCCAAAACGTAATTTGACCCTGCTCTGTATACTAAAAATACACAGTGAATATATTTGGGATAGTAGACAAAAGGGATCTAATAAAAATAGGTTACAGTAAAATCCAATGGATTGAAGCTAAACTTCAATAAATTCAAGCTACATTTAAGCCACAAAAAAACAAAGCTTTTGGAACAACTACTAGTCCTGTAGAAATAGATTATCACTTGAAGTTGGTTAAGCCAAATTTATGCATGTTTTTCAATATTTCCAAGCTTAAAAAACAGAAGCTCCATAATACACGATGCAAAAACTACTGAATGTAACAGAGAAGATTTATAGAATGACAATTCTACTAGTTTTAGATACTACTGTTCCTTTAATTTATTAGCTTTTGTTAAAAGCGTGTAACAATCTAGAGAATATAATTTACAAAAATATAAATCTTGGTTATTTTTTTTTTTTTAGTATTTCAACATATTACTATATAGTATGTGTTGCTCAGAGCACATGTTTAGCAAACTAAGATCATCCAGCAAATAAAAAGTGTTGGGTGTTACATTATGTCTTTTGTAGAACAAATTATGTATTAATACAGGGTAACCAAAAATGTCAGTATTAACATACGGTGTATGTGAAAGCCTATACAGTGCAAAGTTTATTATTGCACTTATTCCAAGTGCAAGACCTTGCACGTGGGTCGTGGCAACCCTTGCTGTAAAACTTGGGAGATATAAGCATAGAGCACAGACCTGCTGAAAAGGACCTGGATGCACTAGCGGGTGGCAAGCTGGGCATGAGCCTGCAATGTACCCCTGCAGCCCAGAAAGGCAGTGGTGGCTCAGTGTTCTGCCCAGAGAAAAGAAAGATCCAGGGATACCTGATAGTGGCCTTTCAGTATCTTGAGAGGGCTAGAAGAAAAGAAGGGGACAGCATCTTTAGAAGAGTCTTTTGTAGTAGGACAAGGGAAAATGGATTCAAACTAAAAGAGGGGGGATGTAGATTGGGTAGAAGGAAGAAGTTTTTTTTACAATTGGGGTTGTGGGGCACTGAAAAGTTTTGCCCAGACAGGTGGTGGCTATTCTGTCCATGGAGACATTCAAGGGTGGGACTCTGAGCAGCATGATGGAGCTGTAGGTGTCCCTGTTCGTTGCATATATATATAGCATCATAAAGGTCCAAATGACCTTTAAGGATCCCTTCCAACTCAAACAATTCCATGATTGTATGATTCTATGACAGTGTAATATACTTGCTTCCTGAAGAAAATATACATATTAAGCCCTTTATTACAGCATGTTTTTCAGTATAAATATGCAGATTATGAGTATTTTAGGCAAAATATTTTGTGTACAGAAGTGATATTCTAATATAATTTGCAAGTTCACTTCCCATCTTCTTAAGTAATCGAAGAGATAAAAATAGTAGAAATAGCATATAAAAACATGTTTTAGTCTTTTGATTATGGAAAACTTTACATATAATTTTCTCACTAAATACCAACGTGTCTTGGATAGGTGGGTTAGGAAAATTTTGTAAAAGTATTGAATGCCTGGAAGGTGAATGTACAAGTCAAATGTTGGTACTGAGGCATATCCTTTCAGGTGGGCACGTGTATTATTCTTTTCTCTTTACACACCTTCTGCAGAAGAATTGTAGACTTGCATTCATCTGTCAACTCAAGAGGATTCATTTTCCATTTACAACTTCCCAGTGCAGTCAGGCAGGATCTGTAGGTGTTGTTGAAGATGTATTTGTATGAACTTATCGGCAGGCACAAGTTTCAACTGACATATTGGGGTATACCTTCAAAACAACGTTTTTGTTCTCATCTAAGAACAAGACACTGAGTGAGCTCATTTTGTCAGGAACACAGCAGGGCTCTGGGATGCCAGGAATGATTCCCACTGCTTTCACGATGCTCTGGATTGTAGCGTGATTTGATGGTCTGACAACCTGGAAGAGAAAAGGAAACGGTCATTATTTCATTTATGAGAAGTCTCTTTCCCAAGAGGGCTTGGAAAATGACTACAAGTGTGTTTGTGGGATTTCTTGTTTGTTTTTTTATCAAAAAAGAAATCTATGTGATTGTGTCACAAGGCCACACAGCACAGTCATGCCCTCACATTTCCAGCCTTCTTGCTCAGGATGTGTCCAAGGTTGTACGCCTTCTGCTGCCTTCATAAATACCAGAGGAGGGCACTGGTGGCACAGGCAGCAGTCAGCTGCCTGGAAAAAGAATTGTGTCCATGACGGTAGCTATTAAATGCTGGAGGCAGGTATGCAGGAGAAAAGGGCTCAGGGGGGGGGGGGGGCCACGCTTCTTAGCTCTAAGTTATCTCTTATCTGACTGGGAAAATTGGCTACTGTAATTATTTCCAAAAAAATTGTTTCAGTCTTGTAGTAATACTTCTTGTATAAATTATGCTGGAATTAGTTACATTTTCCTGGAGCAATTACTGTGGTTTAAAATAAGAAGCAGGTCGAATATACGGACGATCTCACAAAGCGTTTGGTAATCACAGGTCCCTTGCAAATGAATACTTGATACCTGCGGTCTGCCTGCTACCCTCTGTCTTCCTCAGCAGACTCCCCCAGCACCCAAGCTCCTAGCTAGTCTTGAAGCGGGAGGAGAAAACAAAAGGCTGAGAGAGCAGGAAAAACATGAAGTGAGATTTCACCACAGCTTCATATCTATATACTGTTTAGGGTGCTGAACCACCATATCTATTGATTTTCTGACACAGTGGAAAATTATTTGAGAAATGCTATTAGCTATAATGGCTCTGAAAATAGAAGAAGGAGAGCTAAGACTTATGTTTAGCTACTAAATAGTGTACTATTTATTACTCCTATTTTTTTTTAAAATAAAATAATTTTTTTAAAGCATGTATTGAGAAGTTACACTTGGCCTTTGTAATCTGAGCAATGGAATAGTACTAAACAATTTTTACCAGTTCTGTTGCTTCAGGTACATACAGTCAAGCAGAGGTTTACCAGTGAAGCAGTGACAGGTGTCAACCTTTCTGTGTCATTGCCTCAGCATAGCATTGAATAAATGTTCTCCAAGTACAAGATGCAGTAGCGAGGCATGCAACTCATCACTGAGGCTGAAGCTTCAGTGACTCCTGTTCATATGTCATGCTTGAATATTCCCAAAAATGAGTGCAGTAACAGCTGATCAAATCTGTGTGGTCATATTTGGCATTTTGCTACAGTTTTAGTAGTTTTCATCAGATTTGGTACAAGTGACACCTTGGGGGCAAAAAAGAGGAAATTTGCAAATCTCAACATGGAAGCAGATTCTTCGAGTGAGAAGAATTAGTCTCATGTGCTTTTTATTTTTCAGATAACTGTGAAGTATATATGAAGCATTATTGATCATGAGAAGTTACGCAGTGCATTGCTAAATCAAACAATGTTTTTTTAAGAATTATTCAATTCTGATACATTTAAGTATGACATCATACCAGAAACTCAGAACAGACCTCAATTTCTACAAATGCTTCTAGCTGTTCCTTATTTAAAATGACTTCATGTGAACCATTACAAGGGCAGAATGTGAAATCCAGTTGTGATTCTTCAGTGTTTCAAGACAGCATCCCTGTCAAGATGGTCCCAACAGGTGACCAATCCTGAAAAGAGCCTTTCTGTATTTATCGTGCATTGGCATAATTAGCAACAGTTTACTTTCTCATGCCACCCTTAATCTTAGGATTTCAAAGCTGTCCTCAAACAAGCAGCAGTAAATTAGTCTAGTGCTTGCTATATGAAGCAGAAATAAGTTTTGTGTCAGCAAATCTGGACAGCAAGACAAATGGAAGTAGCCTTTATGTATACAAGCAATTGCAGAGTTTAGAAGTTCAAAGAACTGAAGCTCTTAGAATCTAGTTCTTGAAATAACCTGTATGACAAACCTCCTGAAATGGTCCTTTATTCCTTCATAGTGCTACTTGTAACAGACACAGATCTTAATCTACTACTGAAACAGAGTTTGTTTACCCCATGCAACAAATAGCCACCACCATTGCCTTCCGTGCCAATTACTTTGTTGTAGAATCCCCACATATGAACATGCAGAAGATCCTGCAAGGATCTTCTTCAGCCACACAGCCTCTGGTAACTGTGGGGAACAAACAGATGTGAGCCAAGTTCAGTGAGAGCAGCTGTCACCCCTGAAACTAGTTAGAAACAATTCAGCCTGAGTAAATCAGGCTACCAAGATGACAGCACTAATTAGGTTTCTAATGCCTGGAAGCGTGCATGTTATGAACAACAGTGCTTAAAGAGAAAGCTGCCTATTATGGAATATTACCCTGTGTAGAATCTGGCTGCCTGAGTCCTATACCCACAGTGGAGCCAAGCAGCACACCCATCCCACATCCAGCCAGGCTCTAAATTTTCCAGCCCTTCTGGAAATCTGGCCCAAGCACTCAGTGACCTTGGGCTGAGCTTGACTTTAACCTTTATACCAAAATGCTGAAGTGGAAAGATGGAAAGTCTGAGTTGAATGCCCAGTAGGGATGGTACTGGGCAAGGACTATGTCTTAAATGCTGGCTACTAATTTTATCCATTGGGCAGGTTCTACTCTTTCTTAACCTCTAGGACAATCCTAGCTGGAGGAAATTTTAACCTCAGGAAACAAGAGTGTGTTGATGTAGTTGAAAAGTAAATTTGAAATTCTTCAGGCTTCACTCCTTATTCCTGCTTTATGTCCCTTTTAATGTCTGCTTTATCATGAACCTACTGATAAAAGAACACCCTCTGCCACATATTAATAAGCAGTACTTCTTAGCTTCAATAAAGTTTGTTTTTTAATGTTGGGAGTGGAATTAAAACTGAAAATCATAAATGATGCTTTCACAAGGACATAATTGAGATTATTCTAATTACTATTGATAAGGGAGAAGATGTATCCAAATGCTGGTTTCTTAGTGGTAACCATGGCCACTGAACCAGAGGCGTGACATGGCAACAGAAGTCAGTAAAGCACTATCAAAACTAATGCAGCATTCCTGTTATGGCAGCTGAAAATGCAGTTTATCTTGATGCTAACATAGAGGTAATGTTGGAAATATGTCTACATACCTGAATGAGACTGAAGTCTCAAGATATTTCTTAGCATATAAATTTTCTTTAAATAAGATGACTGCATGAAAAAGTTACAAGCATGAAGTCCACAGAACTTGATCTCATATTTCAGAGTAAAGAGGTCATGGATAAATACACAAAATGAGCCCCGAGCTGCTATATCCTACCTGTTCCTATGCATAAGTTAAAATCTAAGAGTCCTGTTGGGTAAGCTTCAACATCTTCCGGCTTAAATAATTTGCATTGTCTTCATGAAGCATTCACTTTAAACCTTCTGTGTAAATAAATCTTACCCTTTCCTGCTGGTCAAGCTCAGTTTCTAGCATGTAGATATGCATGACATCAAAACCTCCTATCAGAACAGAGAGGCAGAATTAACTTTTCTCGGCACAACAAAGTGTTGCACTACTAAATGACTGTACTACACAATGCACAGTCAGGGAATAAGGGTTTCAGTGGCAAGGTAAATGAACTTGAGACAAAGCAACTTGTACAAGTGCTGTTTTGTATCAAGAAATGCAGTCAAGTTAGATGTACAGATGTACTAAATAAAAATAATCTTTCAGTGTGATGATTCCCAACATCCCAAGCACATGATTCTCTCCACAATTTTAAAAGAGTTCCTCGGAAATAAGTTTTGTTTCTCCATCACCAGCTGACTGCATGGTCCAAGTCTTTATGACTTAGAGCTACAACCACCCTTTGATGTAGATCTAAAAAGATTGGATGCATGCTTTCCTGACTTCAGACATATGTGCAACAGCAAAGGCTATTTCTCCTTCCACAATCTTCATAGTAATTTTCATACTCTGACCTGAGCTGAAGTTTCATTCAAGCATGCAGATATCCTACTTGTCCCTGCTCAGTTGGAAGCCATGATTTTAGTAAGTTAAAACTGTGAATCTGTCTGTATGCATTTTCCCTTAAAAATACAAAGCTAACAAAAAGTAGACCTCCAAAACAAATCTAACCAAAACCCCCAAATCTGGGTGTTCTATTTATTTTTTTTTTTTTTTGACACCAAGATGCTAGTATAGCTACAGTAATTCTTCTCCAAGTAGCACACTGAGAATTAAAATGGTTTAGATTTCCAAGAAAATCTGTATTTTTAGCAAGCAATATTTCTAGATGCAATGTTAAGTAAGTCAGCAATACAAGCTTATTTCATTGTTCCAACTATAAATGTGTCAAATCTCCTTCGATTCTGTCAGCTTCTTTGTGCCATAGTGTTTTGCTTACAAGAAGCCAGGTGTGTTATTTTCCATTTCTTTGGTATGTATGAATAATGCATTAGACCATGGCACAGGACCCATATTCCTAAGCTGCATTTTGTATTTTGAGTGATCTTTCTATACTACAACAGAAAAGTGAGAACTGTATGTGAGCCTCTGCAAGTTTAATTTTTGCCAGATTCCAGATTCATCCATCAGTTTATGTATACCTGGGTCAGCATTGGCCAGTTACATGAGAATATTTGGTCTGGACACATTTCTTCACCCCACCCTGAAATCTGGATTTTCACTGTTCCTGGACTTAAACTAGCCTGCGTATCTACTCTTCCTGCAGTCATACTACTGATTTCAACATAAGCATACATCAGACCCTATAGGGCAGATTCTTGTCTCAGAGCTTTGATACCCTTTTCTGGAAAACACTATCAATTACTTATGGGCAGAGGGTTCACATGGGAAAAAAAAAAAAAAAAAAAAAAAAAAAAAAAAAGGCAGTTAAATGAATAATTGGACCATTTGTAGGTTGAACTGCAAAATAATTACTTTCTGAACATGAATGTTATGCTCTGCTTCAAACCTTTGCCCTTTATCTGAAAGCCCTATAAAGTGCAAAGAATTTCTGCATTGCACAGGATTGCCAAAATTTCTTCTTGTTGCCATAGAGTAAGTAAGTTGGGAGAAGGCCAAATCAGAATTCCACTAGAATTCAAAAACTTCATATTTGCCTCTTTATTAGGAAATTTCACACTGCTTCTCTAGAAGGAATTCAAAACACCGGAGTTAGGGTGTTACAGACAGCTACTTGGCATTCTCTGCTGTATATGGAAAAGAAAGCCTTTTTTTTTTTTTTTTTTTTAGCTCCAGCAAGATTTTCTTAATTTTAAGACTTAAATTAAGGAAGCACTTAAGAATTTCGAGACAAAGAGCAGTTCAATTGGCATTCTTATTTTCAAAGTAACAAGCAGTTTCTTCAGTTAAAAATGTGTCATTATCCCTCAATTTTTTCCTAAGGTAGTACCAGTGGAATTCAGAAATATTTTGGTACAGCACCTTGTTTTATTAGTTTTAATACTGTGGTGATACCACACCAAAATAATTTGGTTTAATGTGTAACCCCAAGGTAAACTTCAGAGATTTTTTATTCTTCAGCTGAAATTAAAAATAGCTTTTTAAATTTTTTTGCACTCTGATGAATGGTAGAAACAGAGTAGAAACAGTGCTGCTTAAATGAGGTTGAACAGAGCATCAGAAGGCAGTGAGGTGGGTAGAAGTCTAAAGGTAAAATCTAGCTAACAAAGCAGCCGGGTAGGCAGACCAGTAGTCTACTATGTGCAAGCTAACAGCAATGAAAAGGCATGCTACCTTGGGCATTGGAAATTCACATGTCCCTGCACAGTAGTAGGCATCAAAAGATTTGGGAGATATGATCCATTCATTCCAGCCAATATCCGCAAAGTCAACTTTCATGTATCTTCTTGAGCAAATCCTAGGCTCATTCCATTGTTTCCGCCTTGCTTTCTTCATTGTTTTCTCATCAAAGTTTAGCACCTGAGACTTTGCAAGCATTTCTGTATTTTCTTGTCCTTTTCTCCTTCGGTCTTTACGAGAGGCTTTTGGCTTCAAGGACTTGTAGGCATTCTTCCATATGTCATGCTTATCGTATTTATTGTTATACTCTACGTCTGGCAATTCATTGTTCTGAATAGAACTAGAAAGGTAAGTATCCCTTCTGACTCGAGTATCAGCAGAAGCATTAGGTGACAGACTTCGATCCCCATCATTGGAAGGGAATGGGTCATAACGCTGTAGGGTGACAGACACACTGTTAGGTTCAGAGATCGCAAGGTCATTGGCATAAACCAGTATGTAAGGCAAATGACTGGAGACCTGTTCAGGGAAGCCTTGGTGTTTCTCCCCAGAATCAAGCTCAGCACAGAGGATAAGCTCTGCGGATCGTTTTGATTCTTTTATGATATGTGAAATATCCTTGGCATGCCAAGCCCCTCGCCTTTGAAGAAATACAGTGATGTTCCCTTTCAGTTGTCCATAGGCAGAATTCTGGGGGATGCTTCGGAAGATGAGGTTGAGCCGCAGGATGGGAGGCAGGTGTAGGAGGCGGCACGATGAGTTCTTGGATCGCTTACAAAACACTTCCCGGTGCCGAGGATGTTTGTCGGCATAGAAGTGAAAAGTGGCAGCAAGAACCATCTCTGAATCCTGCATGGATGTTAGATTGAAGCAGTACAGGGGCTTCTGCGACAAGAATTCTGCAAAAGAGCAAGGAAACCATTATAAATATCCAAGATAAAAACAACAGCAACAACAACAAACAAAACACCATCAATCAAACCACTCATCCTTACAAGTGGATGAGTTAACTTTGCTTTTTGCTTACTCTCTTCCATCCGGGTAGTAGATTCAGCTTGTTGGAGTCACTTCAGCTTAAAACGGTGCAAGCAATGTTTGCAGTTATACTTAAACATAACTTTTCCTATGGCACATGAGCAGATAACATGTCTAGATAGAGCATCATGTCTCCATTGACATTAATGTTTTGACAGCACCTCCCTTGTTCTCTGTACTTCACTATATGCATAGTGTTCTTGGTAACATACCTGGCCCTAGTGAAACATACGCTGCACGTGGCATAGAAGATAGCCCTTGACAAGTATCCCTTTTTCAGAGGCATACTGCTTACTCCCTTATTACAGATCAATAAAATGCATAGGAAAAATATGTAAGACTAGCTTAAAACTATACAGGAAAGTGGTAGCAGAACTAGGAGGTGATCCCTGCTTTCTTAAGCTCAGACTGGTAATAAAAAGCATTAAAGGACAATAGTGGGTAACCACTAAATTGGTGCTTGCTGTCTTCCAGTTCAGATATGTGCTGGCTAGAGTAATCATTCGGACTAAACCACAGTGAGTTACACTGTTCACTAATCCCAAGACTGCATAGATAGTCTGGAAGTAACAGTGGTTCAGCAGAAAATCTCCATCCACATGAGCTGTATTTTTTTCCTAATGCAGTGAAATGGAACAGCCTGTACCGATACCCATTCAGTAACGTTTTCAAACAGGGCAGAGCAGCTGACAGGTGGCATTCCGTGATGCAACCCTGCTTGTTTCTGCAGTTCAAGACAGGATTCTTATCAGAAAACTTTTCATCAGTACTAGTCATGTCCAAAGATGCTCAGTTTATGAAAAATAAGAGTTTAGATTCGAGTCTTTGGAGTATTTTTCTCCTAGCACTATCAGTTCTACAGAAACCTCTCAAGCTTATGCATCTTCGGGATAAAAGTGTTTCAAATGTGAGTGTTTCAGATGTGGGCTGTGCATGAGAAGGGAATTTGGAATTAGAGCTCGGAAAGGAAATCTAAACTTTTCTAAATTAGTTCTGTATTCCAAAGTGAAACAAATTACAAAAAAATCAAATCTCTTTCTAGTAAAGAGTCCATCTACAGCTACTGAAAAGCTGGAAAATGCCTGGAAGTGTGTTTTTTGTTAGAGACGGAGGAAACCTGAGTTTTGGAGAAAGCATAGTAGTATAATAATAATTAATCATATCATTCATGCTTTTATCAGTATTTCAGCCAAGAATTGTTATGCTTTACAGGTCTACTCTTAGTTGAACGGTACTAGCTACATATATTATTAAAGTTATTAATATTTTACTGATTGTATCTACCTTCCTACAACTTCAAGTTCAGGATGCAGGAAAGATGTACTGAAGGTGTATGCAGAGATGCATAGAGAAAGAACAAGGAAGTGGCCGAAGAAAGAAAGTAGCTTTTAGGGGTAATCCACCTGCTAGGAGAACGCTGCATTGCAGTAAGTGAAGATTAGCAATGCAGATTTACTGATAATATACATGAAAAACAATATGCAGAAAACCTAACTTAAAATGCTTTTAAGCTATGAAATTACTGTAAAGCAACTGTAAATCTCTAGAGGCCAGAACTACAGTTTTGTGAGAAATCTTTATTTGCTTTTCTTTCACAGACGCACAAAACAGTCTTAATTAAATTGCTGCTATTTTCTAGTCTTCACCAAAGCCTGTGCTTTATTTAGTGAAGAAGATGGATGGCATTCAGGGAATGAGACTGAACTTTAAGAAGCAATTTACAGGAGGGTTTCGTGGCTTAGGCAGCTGTTTGCTGTCGCAAAGACCAATTCTCTTGTCTCAGCAACCTAGATGAAGTTGGGCAATAACTTCATATCTCACATTTGGCAAGAAACTACATTACAAAGCCACTTATGACTTGACTGTGCAGCTAACTTTGGTCAAATTGTGCTGTTTTCTAAAGCTACGAAGTTCTCTGAAAACTGGAAAACATCTAAAGAAAAAATATCTACAGACTTGTTTGTCCTGAACTAAAACGAAACTTGAACTATGAACTAAGTGCTTATCTCTCAGCACTTTATCAGAGAAGCAACCAAATCTTGTGAACACACGTGGAGGTGAGTTGAGAAGTGGTGATGAAATGTCTGTGGAAAACTCCTAAAGCGCTAGACAATTCTAAATGCTGCCAGAGAAACAACATTATATTTGGAACAGGTGCAGAATTCATACGCTATGCAGCAATGAGCTCACACTGAGTATGGACTACTATTACATCATAACCCTGTCAAAACAGTCCATACCCTTTAAGGGATGTGGGATGTATGCTTTCTGAGGGCTAAATAGCAGTACAACTCTGTAGCTGAGAAGACCTCAGTAAATGCATATGATGATGGAACAAACTAAGTGTGGGCTGACATGTTGTAACTGCGCTCCACTTTATCACAGATGCTAGAGAGTGCAACATCAAGGGGCTTTAAGCTGCAGAATAAAAATAAAAGGTTACAAGTTTTCTGAAGGGGACAAAGTTTTTTAAGCCCATTCCTTGGAACAACAAAGAAAAAGTCATTGTAGGTAGAATCTGTTTTGCTTACCTAGATAAGAAGTGTCATCTATATTTCATTAAGATGAGATACTCCACCTCTTGTTCGGTGATCATACTGATTTATTCTCTCAGAAGAACACAAGAATTTCTTGGAGGATGTAGAGGGAAAAGGAAACCATACTGACTGGCAAGTTTTTCCCCTCCCTTCATGTTGTGTCATTCTGTGGTTCATTTCCGACCATTCATCACTAGTCCAATGAATTAAAAAGAAATAACTTTTTTTTTTTTTTTTTTTTTTTTTTTTTTTTTTGTCATAAAAAAGTGCAAAGGAGCTTCTGCTTTCACGTTGCACATATTACTGGGGAGAGACAGAACCCAGTAGAGAAGGTATACAGGTGGAATACAGGAAATGAGTTTAGACACAGGTGTGTTTTATCCCTGCTGCATGACTCTATGCAAGTTACTCTGCAAGAATCTGTCATGACCTGATAGATGAGCAAAATGCTGACATGCAGTTGTTCAGTGCCACCTGTATGGGTAGGAAATGCTATTTTGATGTTTTGAAACTGAATTTAGCCATGTGGATGTAAATTACCCGAGGAAGGGGAAAAAAAAGAAGAAAAATTATTCCGTATTTTATTCCTACCAAATCACTCTTAGTGGTATGGGGCCTTGCTTGGATAGCAGCAAGTATCACTTGAGTATTAGTTTGCCAGGAAAAGTACGAGTAGAAAGGGGAGGTCATGAAATAACCACTCACAGTGAAAGCTCCTTCCTAATCCCTATTAGTTAGCAGTTGGCTAATGATGTAAAGCACGAAGGTTTATTTTCCTCCCAAATGACTGCAGATACTGTACACCTTTACTCTTGGTTTACATTGTCGTTAGCCACATTATCTTCCACGGGATGCCCCCCTTCTAAAACGGACTGGATGACTTTTTAATATTACATCTGACACTGGATAAAAATCTAATTGATATGCACTATAGAGTATGAACTATTGTACAGTAGTCTAGTGACCATTCGCTGATAAGTCACCTATTATTTGTGCCTATGAAAACAGTTCTTCTGTAAGTGTAACAAGTGACATTCTAGAAACCAACCTCATTCTCTAAGAACCAACATTCTAGTTATGATCTCTAACTCTAATAAGAGTCAACCAAAGGAAGACATTTTCCAGATGGTTATTTTGAGTTTCCTCGTCAACAGATAACAAATGTGAAGAACACCAACTAAGTAAAGAACTTATTTCGAGGGAAATAATAGTATGTGTGCTGTTGCATCTCCGTAGGCCAGCCTCCAGCTAAGTAAAGAAGTAAGTAAAGCATCTGCCTCAGGTTCAGGCGACGCGAGAGCCCGAGATGCTGAGCAGCTTGAGACGGTCCCGTAGGCGGCACTCCTAGAAACCTCGGAGCTGCGCCGGCAGCTGCAGCAGTCGCTGCTCGGGGCGCCTCAGGAAAGGTCTGGGAACGGCGCTCCGTTCGCTGACACTTCGCATCTCCCGCAGCGGAGGCTTTCTAGAGGCTGACCGCTTCGGGGCAGATACTGTTGGTGGACAGTACTGTCAGCAGCGATGGGAAACCACCCGCGGAACAGAGGAGAGGCATCGCATCTCCATATTAGACAGGGTCCCCTGGCGTTCCCCCCGGCTGCGCAGACCCCTGGGGGGCGGGACACCCCGCAGACACTGACAGCTGCGGGGAGAGCCCTGAGCTTCAAAGGGAAAGAGCAGTGAGCAGGCGGCGGCGGCGGATTCCCCCCCCGTCCTCTTACCTGGCCTGCCTTTGAAGCTGCGAACCGTGTTGCCGTGGCCGGGCCGGCTCCCCTCCCGGTTGTACTTCTCGTAGAGCTTAAGCATGTGGACAGCTACCATGTCCTGAGCGATGCTACTCAGCGCCAGGGGCTGCGGGGCGCCCCCGCGGGGCTCCGGGCCGGGCGAGTCCCGGGCTGGCGGCGGCTCGGCGGTGCAGCCGAGCTGGTTGCCCGCGCCCTGCCCCGCAGAACAGCGGCAGCCCGCGGGCCGCAGGGCCCAGAGCAGGAGGCAGCAGGCCAGGCGGGCGGCCATCGGGGGCTGCTGCTGCGGGCTGCCGGGCGCAGAGCGGAGCGGCGGCGGTTCGGGCGCTGCCTGCGGCTCGCTCTGTCCCGCACGGCTCCGCCACACGGGGACGAGGGGGTGGTGGGGGTGGCCTTCCCCCGCTGCTGATGCCGTCTCCGCCGGGCCAATCCCCGCGCCCGCGGGGCGAGGAGCTGGGGGTGGCGGGGCAGGGCGAAGGGCTGTGAGGGGTGCGGGTACCCGAGAAGCGGACGCCGCGTCGCTCCCGAGTGGGGCTTCCCCGATCTTTTAAGCGTAGCGGGGAAAGGCTCTAACGGAATCAGCCCTCAGCCGCTGATTGGAGACGCATGTCCTCGCCGCGGCAGCGAGCAGGCACCTTGGCTGCCTGAGCCAGCGGGGTGGGGGCGAGGGAGCGGCGAGAAATCCCCGCTAAAAGGCAGAAGTGAGCACAGAACGGGCCATGCCAAGGGAGCGAAGGGCGAGTGGACGGGGGTGGTGTGAGGAGCGGGGGCATACAAGCATGCAGGAGGAGGTGCGGGGGCTTTCTCCCTTCGGACCGGCGGAGCTGAAGGCTCTGCCGTGAAAAAGGAGTGCCGAAAATAGCGGTTGTTTCCAGCAGTCCGGAGAGCAGTGAGGTCCCGTCGGGTCGGCGCTGAGGAAGACCCCGTGTGAAGCAGCCAAGAGTGCAGCAAGGGTCACTGATAATTCCGAGGAGATGCTTAAATAGTAGGGGTTAAAGGGGATGTGCACGGGTAAACTTTCGTCACTGGGCTATTTCCATGTGTAATCTGAAGGAGGAGAATACCAGGGTGAATTTCTGAAGGATTTACATGGCTTAGGTCGGAGGGCGTTCATTTGAAAGTGAATGGTGCGTGTTGCACTTATCCATCATGTGACACAGGTAGTTCTCAATCCTAGCTTGTAGTCACCCAGTGGGCAGAAGATCTGTCACAGTGAACAGCAATTTTAAGGCAATGTATAATGGAGGCCAGTGTATTTTTAGAGAATTTGTTCATTCTGCCTCTCTTTTCAAATCTTATCCTCCAGTAGCCAAGACAGTTACTTTTCTTGGAGAGTATACAATGCAATAATTGAAAAATTGTTGGAAAAAGCTACTATTGCTGTGTATAACACAACTCTTTTGTGATGTTTTAACCTTGGAGTTTCAAATCTGAGCAGATACTATTGAAAGGCTCTGAACCGCAAGTTTGTAGTTTTTGGACCATTACAAAGAAAGGTTTGATTCATTTTTAAAATTAGCACCAGGCCACATTACTCTGTGCCCCTTCAGTGTCTGAAATGAACAATTTGCAAATACAAATTTGTCCAAATGTAAGTTACTAAAGTATCAAACCTCCTATTAATTAATCTTTGCTTATAAATAAGCCAAAGCAGCCTTTGATGGATTATTTTTTTTTTTAAATTTCTCCATGGTAGCACGCTCATGACCTCCACTGGGGGTGTGAGCAAACCTTTTGTTGTTTGTGGTTTTTGTCTGTACTATTTCTATACAATCAAGGTCCTGTGAAAAGGAGGAAGAGGCAGCAGGAGGTAGGAACAAGCTGGGCTATTTTGGACCAATGTCCCATTAAACGTTCTCTCTCTCCTTAACTCACTCCAAACTCCTATTCAGGCATACACTTTGTATCAGTCTTTAACCTGCACTAAAACCTGTAGGACACTGATACTTTGACACCGTTGGGAAAGAATTAAAGAATCAACCAGGGATGTCTAATATTTCTTGCCTTATTTTATTGCAGAACAGCAGGAATTCTGAGTCTTTAAAGCTCTGGTACTTTGACTCTTTTATGCATCTGAGATGATGAAATAAAAATGTGTTTGGTAAAGGAATTCAAATTAGCACTGGGTCACATAATTCCCCTGTTCTGAATATGGTCAATCAATGGCATCTCTAAGGCATCTAGAGGCAAGAGCTATGCAATTTCTGCTCATGCAGAATAATATTCCTAGCGTGGAAATTTCTGCTAATTAAAGCTCTTGCCAAGTAGAGTCTCTTTTTTTCTTCTTCTTAAATAGCTCAAGTCAAAGCTTTGCAAGCCAGGACTTGGAGAAAGTCTCTCTATAGTTAGAGCAATGCATTCAAGATTTTAAACTGCAGATTTAAGCTTCCTGCTAAAATCATCATGATATAAATAGTGTTACATATCATTAATAACAGCTTTTTTATTTTTTATGAGATTTCTTGTGGAATTAAAGACATCTGCACAAAGGAACTATTGTGATCCATGCCTCTTTTGTCATACAACATAGATGTGGGAAATACATAGGGAAAATGTAGGAGGGGATATACAGCATCAGGAAGGGAATCTTTTTGTTCTATGGCAAAGTAACTTATTAACTCACTTCAGAGTTAGAACTCTCAAAACTATATTAAAATAATTTTGCCTGACTCTTTTAGTAGTAAAGTTGGTAGCAGGAATAATGAAGGTTAGAACTCCAGGGAAGTTGATGAAACATAAATTATTACTAAATTTGGGCTTCAGTCCAATTTTCTGTCTGCTACTTATTGTAGGACAGCTCATTCATTTTTCACTCACAAAAATATTGTGCTATGTGTAATGCTACACCATTAGGTAGGACCATACTGCACCATTCCTTAAGTATATAATATATTAATTAGAAATTAACCGGATAAAATGCAGTGGGCTGCAGATTCTCTTAGAAATTGATGGCAGAACTCTAAAACCCTTTTCACATTCCATCCAAAATCACACGGTGCGACAAGAATGATATATGGTCAGTAAAAAAATGCTCTTGTATGTTCATTTTTTTTTTTTTTAATATACTGAAATTATCTTCATACCTCAGAAAATAAACAAAGCAGCATCAGTACTTTTTAGATGTTAGAGCAAGTAGGATGATCAGAGCTCATGCAGAGCCCTGGAAGGCTCAGAATGTTGAGAGAAGACTTTGGGCATATAATGCAGTGCCTGCTGTTGGTACAGAAAGCTTTATCTCTCAAATAAAGCCATCTCAGTCCATTCCATCACTCAAGAACAAGTTTCCACCTTTGATTTCTGTTCTAGATCCACACTCTCTTCTTCTGGTCTCTGATAAGCACAACCTTCCTTTCTGCCAGGCTTCCCATCCTTCCTCTTAGTGACAGAAGTTTATTCTGCCCATCTTGCTATGAGGCAAGAATTGTCTGTATTCCTATGCTACCACACTGCCTACAATATATAATTACAAAAAGTAAGAAGTTAGGAACCAAGATGCACAGACTCAGTGCATCATCTTCTGGCACTCTTTGCTGCTAGAATGTTTCAGTGCAGGAGATCAGGATAGGCTGTAGCGGGGAATAGAAGATAATACACTGTGCCTTTGCATCTGTGAAATGGCTCTGATTATCTTTACCTCAGATATGTGATGTGAAGATAGACAAATGCAAGTGTGAAATGTACTGACTCCAGACAAGGCAGTAGTTCATACCTAAGGATTGTTTGCTTTGTGTGGTTTTTGAGTGCTTTCACAAATACTGGGTGTTCGTATGTACAACAAACAAGGTGAATGAATATAAACAGCTATAAAGATCAGCTCCATAGTTCATTTTATCAGGTTTTGAGTGCACTGGTAGACCTTGATTGCCTTGAGCAGTCTCACCTGGGCTACCAGTCACATGGTCAGGTGCACTATTTAAGCCCAGACTTCAGGGTTACGTTCTCATTTGTGTGTTGATTTGAAGAGCTCCTGTCTCTGGTGTTGCTTGTGAGCTGCTCTTTGGATTTTCTGGATGGACCTTGAAGTTTATTTGTTGCTTTGTTCATCCTGCAGTATCTGTAGGACCTGTGGCTGTCGCTGCCATGCTGTGCTTTCCCAGCTCAGGTACTGTCAGGCTGTCCTTGGAGTGGGAGATTACTGCATGGGCTGTGCTGGGCCTTCTCTAGAATGGCTTTTTCATGGGGAGTGTGAGGCTTTCTCAAATCTTTGATAAATTAATCTGTATTCATTAATTAATACATATGCTGTCTTGGCACACTTACCAGGCTATCTGAGGCCTTATAAATGGAGAGAAACCTAAAAAAAGCCCTAAGGGATGTTACTCTTAATCATAAGTAGTAGCATTGTTGTAGGCTATTGTTCTAATGTTTGCATTGCTGGCATTGCATCTGAGTAATCAAGTTATGATGTCTTTGTAGTCAGTGGGGGAGAAACTGAGACTGACTTATCGTAGTTGGTGGCACTGCGTAATATGTGTCCAAAGGTATACTTATGTCTGTGTGCTTGGCCTGTCTGTAGCTTTCAACTGATTACAAAAGTAATCTAGCTAGGGTGTGTGGGCTGGCTGTGTGAGGTGGAGAGCACCTTTCATTTTTTTCTCAGTTTTGCTGGAATATGATGGAACTTGCTGTTATCCAGCCTCAGGATTAGTATTTTGTAGGTTAAACTATAGTTTCTCTTTATGTAATTTGTAAGTGACAGATATTGGCATTTTGATAAGTTATTTCCATGAGTAATGAAAGTATCATAATTGTTTCTTTTCTGACTTTATTTCACTGGGAGTTCAGGATATGTTCATTCGTACTTGAAAGATGTCATAAAATGCTGTACTTATGGTAGGTTTATCCATTTGGAGTCCTAGTCTTCTATTTCTGCCTTATGGTCCACTGTTTATGCTTCTGATAAGGATAGTCTAGACTAGTAGCAGATAAACTAATTTTGTTGATACCCACAGCTGCCAGGATCTGCTGGAAGATTTTCTCCAGATGTACGTTACCAAATGTAATCCCTTCATTTGGGTAGTTTAATTTAGAAGAGATGTTAGCCAGCTGGTATGAGCTAAAAAGGTAATTCTGTGGTGTTACTAGGAACTGGCCTGAAATAAAGACAATGATTTATTTTAGAGCAAGCAATTTAAACTTTTCAGTGATCTGTGAACCACCACAAACACTTATGTAGGGAGTAAAAGGGAGTAAACATATGTATGTTAACTGCTGAGTCATGGCCTGAACTGCTGATTGAGCATCTGGGGAAAGGACCCAGTCAGCCCTGAGAGCACAGGTGAAAGCAATTCAGTTGTGTGACTGGAAGGGGTGGAACCTGGGTGCACCTCTCTTAGACCTCATTTAAGGGCTGACTGGCACAGGGGAAAGGTCTCTGGCTGGAGATCCTCCCTTGTGATGTTTTCCCTGTCAGCTTACATCTCCAGAGTTGGGTGAGAACTCCTTTTAATGCCTTTCCATTTGTGTTTGTCCCTTTGCTATTACACCTCCTGTATTGCTGTTCCACAGTGCTGATCTTTCTGATTGTTACAGCGTATTTCTTTCCATTCAGAAATGGATCAAACTTTCCCAGTGGAAATTCCAATGGTAAGCTAGTAAGCAAGCTGAAAACCAGGTTGGTAATGCTGCCTTGGAACTCTCTTGTACTGAAGTAGTTCCTGTCTCTGGAGACATCTTATTGTGAATGGATGTACCTGGTTGCTGTGCTTCCTGGAGTATGTGCTGTCTCCTTCTCTGGGTTGGAAAGCTACAGACCATCCAGGAGAAGGAGAGCATAAGGAATCTATGCACCCAGATTGTTGCTGTAGCAAAAATAGACAGATTTTTCAGGTGGAATAGTGTGAGGCGGGTGGGGAGATGAATCCAATTTCCTGTTCAAAAGCAATTTTGAGGAAATATTTCCCGCAGTTCTAGAACCAGTCTTTATGTTCTAGCCAGCAGCCTACAGAGCTTTGAATGTTCTGTCCTTTTACTCTGTTTGTTTCCTAGGAAGCAAAGGCTCTTGCTGAGTTCAGTACTCAGTACAAGTTCAGAACTCAGCCTGGTACGCTTCAGAGTGAGATCAATACCTGCTGAGCAAGTTGCCAAAGTAAACACCAGTGTGTTTTGGGAGAACTGGCAGGAGTGGGAGATGGGGTAGGCTGGATAAGGCTGCAGTGTGCCATTATAGGAAGTGTCTGTTCTGTGATGGCCAGCTGTGATTTGCATCTCCACACCCCTGTTTACAAGTGGAATTTGAGGAAATTTGTGGAAAGGCTGGGCTGGTGGGGTGGAAGAGGAGGGAGGGGGAGTTATATGTGGAATTTAGAAGAAGGCAAGAGCAGCTGGGAACAATCGATGGTTACATCTGGGTTTGCAAAGATTTTCTTGCAAATTGGGTTGGGATCTCTCCAGAATTTTCATAGCCTGAGTAATGCTGCAGTCAAGAGGATGTTTTGAGCTGATTGCAGAGAAGGGTTTCTGCACATGGCGGACTAGATTAGCCAGATGCTGGGAGATCTTAGAAGCATGATGAGCTGCTCCTGACCAGTAGATGGCAAGCGTGTCCCTAAGTCAAATCTAACCCATTGCTCTCTCGGGCGTTGGACACTGCTGTGTCCTTTGGACGTTAGGATCTTTAAGATACTGTAGCATTTTTCCAGTGAGGAGCACTGTCAGGTAGCACCAGTTTTTCCAGCTTGTGTATTCGTAGTTTTCCCAGGCGTTAGGAGACCATCGTGATAGCTTTGGCAGACCTCTGCAGGGTGCTTTTGGGAGACTCTTGGTCAATGAAATGCACACAGTGCTTGTGGCTCCCCCTTGAACTATAGTAGCTGCTTTCGGGATCCATGTAAACTTCTCTACAAGTGGTAGAGATCCAACAAACTAGAACTGTATCATCATTTAAGATGTACATGCTATTTGTGTTTAAAACTTGTTGGGCTTTGGTTCCTCTGTGGATTCAGAGTCAGAGCACGGTGTCAGTGCACAAATGAGTTCTCACGCCCTTCCAGAAGAAGCAGTGTTGCAGGAATGAATGAAGGCAACTATGAAAGTACAAAAGCTTGACTTAAAATGTAGCTATAGTAACTATGACAGATAACAAGGGTATCTCCTCTCTGTAAAAGCTTATCAGGCATCTGTTTTCAAACTATGTACAATACAGCTTTGTTGCATGCTCGTCTTCCCTTTGTTTGAGATGCAGGAACAGTTTTTACCTGGCCTGTAGTCTGTCTTTGGAGCAAGTGCTCTTTGTTCTACTATTAGAAATGCATGCGTGCTCGTACCATTATAGTTGTCTGGTTTTGTGCTGGTGTTCTTCTCTCCACACTACAAATATAAAAATGGATATTTTTTAGATACATTATTTTCCTGAGCTCAGTCATATAGGCATTCTGAATGTGAAGGTGACTTCTTCAAGACATACAGAAGCAATTGAGAATTTTTGACAGGTTTCCAAATTTTCTTTAAAAATCTACAACAAACGTAGTTCCAGATAAGTGCAAATACATGTACATGTCACTTTTACTGCTTCCATATTTGCCTTGGACATTTTATACTATGTCAGAATGCTTTCAGTGGTGCAGGATTCTTTCATTGCTTTTCTCTGAATCCAGTGGTAATCATATCCTGGCCATAGTGGTGAAAAAAATGGAGACAAAGCAAGGTTTGTGTGTAGATCTAGTGTTTTGTATTAGATCAACTAGCATGGGGAGGCTGGAATTTTTATCTGATTTTTCCAGCTGTACTTGTTGATCTAAAGGGGGCTATTGCATCTGCCTGCATTTAAATTACTAGGCAGAAATATTTTGTTTAGAGATCCCCATTTTTCCATATTTGCTCAGTTCATATTTGTTTGTCTTCTCAGATTCAACACTTCTGAAGGGAAAGGCCAATCTCTGTCAATTCTTTTTGAGGGAACTTAAGGCATTTGCTATTCAGCTGTTCCATTTGAAAGAGTTACTCATTATCCCTGCTGTATATTCAATACTTGTTATTCTTTTAAAGTTATCACAGTGGAAGTGGAGATCTTATTCTGATATTCATAGACAGAATACCTGTTAGTATCAAGAATTCACACATATTAAAATTGACTTGGCCGATCACTGTTGTGCAGCTTGGCTTTGCATGGGCATTCTGTTCATTATAAAAAGAACAGAGAAAGGATGTTTTCTGATTTGTTTTTTTTTTTTTTTTTTTTTTGCAGTCATACTAAGTTACAGGCCAAAACAAAAGTTAACTACATTAACATGGGAGTTGCACCCAAAATGAATTTGGCCCTGTCATTATTAAATACTTGCTGTGATTTATCTTTACTTTCTCAGAAAGGGATTATACTAGAACAGCAACCACAGAAATCGTCAGTTGAGTCTCCACCAAAGTTCTTATTCCACGTGAAATAAAATGCTTTGTTCTTTACTCTCACACTAAATTTTCATGAATATTATATAACTCTGAAGCTTTTGGGTAGAGTTGAGTTACAACATCAGATGGGCTGAAATATTAATGGAGAACATAAAAACATGATTCCAAATAAGATCATAATAGTTCTTGGTTTGTTGTCTCTGTTTTCAATTACGAATTTTAGGCTGCCCTGTTGCCTTTTAATCAGGTATACATCCAAGTAAACTAAGACCCATTCATGGCATATTTTATGAACTCAAAAATACTTTCTTTCACCTTCAGGATCCTCCCAAGGTCTGTGCTAGAGTTTTTTTCAATAGTTAGAGGACAAATTGCAGAAAAATTGTATACATTCCTATTCTGAATGTTGTTTTCCTTCCAGTACTACTTTTCAGAATATCAACAAGTCAGTGATACAAGGAACAGTCTCCAGAAAGTCTGCTATCAGTAACTGATAAGTTAGCTGGGGTTGGATTAAAAGGTGCACTGATCTAATGGTATGGCAGTAACTTTATGTATCCATAAAGATATAGTATGTTCATAGCTTTTTTAAATGCTAGTGATTTCTGCAAAGAGCTACTTCCATCTTTCTCACAGCACTGGTAAGTTTCTGGTAACTTGAATGTCCTTTCCCAGCTGTATTGCATTCCTGATTGGGATGGATGGGAAATTCAGAAATGTGCATAATCAGCTTGTGATTAGAACACAGTGAACTATCATACTGCTCTCAGGTAGGTGTAAAATTTACATTTGCAAGGCATATGGGCATAAAAACAATCAACATTTTTATCCCTAAGGTCTGCAAGTAAGATGTGCAAGGAGAAAATTATTTTATTTGAAATTCTTCCTGCTTAGAATGGAAAGCTACACTGAGACTGCTTGCATGCATTAATGATTTTCAGCATTATTTTTTGTCCAATATTCCAAGTCTTGCATTCAATGGAATGTCTGCAAGATTTCATAAATATAACATTTGTAGAACCAGTGAAGAATAGCTGTATCAAGTATGTTGTCACTGGGAAGGTTAATGGAATGTTTTTACTGAAAGGCCTTGAAGAACTAGAGTATATGTGAACTCTTACAGACTGAAGCTTGTTACAGACATGAAAGGCAAGCGTCTGTGATGAATGGCTAGGTGGAATTGAGCCTGACATGCGACAGGAGAATGGAATGGGTGACCTCCTGATGTTCTTCCCAACATTATTTCTCATGTATAATTCTGCAGATGGAAGAAGTCTCCTTTGGTCTTGCATTTACAAAGGAATGGAGAGATACAGAACAATCTGGCTAATGAATTTGGCAAAGCCATGCACAAAAGTTTAAATTTAGAAGTTTGATTTGAATTTCATAATTTTTAATGTAAAATGGAAGCGGAAGGAAGCGTTAGGCACTAAATATGTGATGTGATTCCTACAGACTTCCTAAAGGGCATCTCTAAATTCTTTGTAATCTTGATATTCAGGAAGATCTGCATCATCTGTTGCAGAGCTTTTATCAGCTTTTAGTTTAAGATCTCTGTATCTGTGTGGATCCAATAAAAAGTTAAATCTGATTTCAGTAATTCAGCTGGCTTGATCTGTCACCGTTAACTTCTTTAGAAGAATTCTGAAGCGGAGAGCAAATTGCCCATGGCTTGCATGAAAAGAATACTGATAAGTAAATAGGTAACTTGCTTTATGTATGAGATAATTAGATAAGTAACAGTAAATTAAGAGAATTGCAAAGTAAATTGGCAATTGCTGATTATTAATGGTAGTCTTATGGGCACTTTCCTCACATTTTTTCCATCAGATGGATATCTGATTTGTCTGGTTATTTCAAAATCAGTTTAAAGTTTTCAGCTGCAGTTCTGTGACAGCTGAATATTATCTTCTGGGGATTTCAGGAGATGGAAGTTCTTCAGGGCTCTATTTGAGGCAGTAGAAAGAATTTTCTGAGTTATAAAAGGCTGCTGAAACAGTTACCAGCATTTGCTATATGTGTGAGGTACATTTCTAAAACATGGTGCAATTTTTCACAAAAGACCACATGGCTGGTGCTGATGTGTAAG